CACATATTCCATCAATATGTCTAGAGCATACTTCTCTGCTCAACATCATTATCTCACTTCTATTCTGGCAATAACGGTTTACACATTAAAGTAAGCCAATATGGCTCAGAAAATCAAACAAAATATCTTTTTTTTTTTTCATCTCATTTAATAACAAGGCAGAAATGAGACTACAGCTTGAAAAATCTATGGTCTACGTAATTGTAAATGTATTTGCACCGAACTCTTTATACTGCCTGCCAACAGCAAGTTGTCATATTTTCAATCCATAATACAGATGCTGAATTTGTAGAGAGATGTTTCAAAAAAAAAAATTCTCCAAAATTAACAGATATTTTGAAGACAGCACCGAGTAATCATCTGAAATCACTCATATGAAGTATAGAATTGCTTGGGACACATACTAACAGGTATACTTAGGTCCAGCAAATATGATCCTGAAATGAAACTCAACAATACCTACCACTCACCACCCTCACTATCCATTACCACAGTGGATGTGCAGCACAGTCTTGCACAAGAGAAGGACCTCCCTTAAAAATGGAGGGGAAAAATCCCTTCTCCCTGTTTTTGATTTTTGGGTCTAGCAAGTCACCAGAGGAAGTCAGTGAGTTCATATCTTCAGTAGCCTGTAGTAGGGGTTTCAATATGTAGGCTATTTATGCAAAATAATGTGTTCACAAAATAACACAGCTAAAATCTAGATCTGTGCCTAAATGGTTTTGGGAGCTGGTATCCCGTTCACTCAAGGAAGAAGTTGATTGCTCTGGACAAAATTTTGAGTAGAATTAGGCCAAATACATTACATAATTTAGTCTAATCCCCTTGTTTAACTATAGAAGTCCTTCATACAGTGTACTCTCTAGACAGTATATTATAATTAAGCACAAATTATCTATTGTCGGAGTGAAATAAACTCAGTTTGTTGAAGAGCATGTATATGCCTGTGTGCATACAGCAGGAGCAAACATGATGAGACAGGAGGAGAGAGTTGGCACCAGAGAGCTCACTGGAGGAAGAGCCAGAACTAGCCAGTAGCTCCCACTTACCTGCAACCTCAAAGAACCATCACAGGGAGTTTCCCAGACAGCTACAATAAAGCAGTTGTATACAGTCACTTGCAAGCATTAATACCCGCTTTCAGAATACCACAATTAAAAATTAGAATAATTTAAGTATATATTGTATGATAAACCATCACCAAATTGGTTTAATAAAATAATTTGCTGGTCTTCAGAATAAGAAGGATGAAAGGATTGAAAACTGCAATGCAGTTTTCTGTATGCAGAAGAAGTGTCTTCTCCTTTCAGGGTATCTGGTCCAGGACCTTTTCAATGCAAAAAAAAGAAAAAGAGGAAGCCATAAACAAGAACATGAAGAGACACAAAACTGATAGACAAATGATAAGAGAGGCAGGGTGTGTGGGAATGTGAGAGTTTATTCCAGACAGGTTATCTTATTAAGCACATCCTGTATTGGGATGATAGGGGAAAGAAAAAAAGAAACATACAGATAGAAAACCAGTCCAATTAGCATTAACAAAAAGACAATAACCAGGAAAAAAACCAACCCTGGCACAAGGCCCTCTCTCTCACACTGCCCCATCAGCAAACAGGCCGGGGGGGCATAAGAAGTAAGGAGGGGACACAGCTGACCCAAAGGATATCCCATACCATCATGGCATCACGCTCAGCTGGGGGGAAAGAAGAAGGAAGGGGAGGGCATTTAGAGCTATAGAGTCCGTCTCCCCAAGTAAGCATTATGTGCCATGAAACCCTGCTTTCCTGGAAATGGCTGAACACCTGCCTGCCAATGTGAAGCAGTAAATTAATTCCGTATTTTGCTTTGCTTGTGTGTACAGCTTTTGCCTTACCTATTAAACTGTCCTTATCTCAACCCACGAGTTTTCTCACTTCTACCCTTCCAATTCTCTCCCTCATCCCACCAAGGGGGGAGCGAGCGGTTGCACTGGCCTGAGCTGCCTACCAGGGTCAACCCACAACACAGGCAAAATGGGACTTTGCAACTAATAAAGAGGGCAAACCTCAGGGACCGGCATATTGGAGAGAGTGGGCAGAAATATGCCAACTGATCAGACAACTCAAAGGGCAAGTGGGAGGAGGGAAGAACAAAGAGGGAGTAGGCAGAAAGGCTTATAAAAGGAATCAATCAATACACTCATCACCAGTCTGTCCTATCTTCTAATTAAGTCCTTTCTTCGCTATCTCTATATAACTTCCCTCTGTCCTGTGTCTATGTGCTGCAAGGATGAGGTGCCAGCTACTGAAGTGAGTGCAGAGGTCCCAGCCACCAAGCAAGCCACTGGCGTGGGAATGGCGGTGTGTCCCAAAAAACAGCTACTAGAGGACACTGGCACGAGTGAGGTAGGCGTTGGGCTCTGTGCCCACAGCTGGAGCAGGATCACAGGTCACAGTCCGTGCACCTGATGCTGGCTGATGGCGGGGGTGGGGCAGGCAAGTGTCTGTGCGTTCTCCAAACGCGGTGTGCGAGGGGTGTGCATTTGCTGTCAAACTCGAAGCTGGACAAGGCAGTGAGCGCGAGGGCCTGGGTCTGGGCTGGGATATTAGGCAGGTGAAGGGTCTGTGCTTATATCCACAGGGACCTGTCAGTATGGGATGCTTGTGGGACAAGAGCGCTGTATGTTTGCTAGTGAACACTGACCTGGACAAGCCAGCAAACAGGTGATGCACAGGGCAGGTACAAGGGCCAGGATCTGGGCAGGGGTACTAGGGATCTACAAACATGTATGTGCTTGTGAACCTAGCAAGCAGTGTGCACGTGCCTGCACTAGTGACCTTCTGTCTCTGCCAGATGAAGAGGAGACGTGGCTACCTGTACTTATGTCAGTCCTATATGCAGATGCAGCTGAAGGCACAGCTTGTCCGTGGCAGTCTGCAACCAGCCAGGTCAGTGTCCTGCGTGTGTCTGTGTTTCTAGGGCACAAGGCCCAGCTTCACTGCTGGTAGAACCTGCAAGTGGGAAAGCAGCAGTTACATCCCTCAGCCCAGGGCATACACATCCCTGGTACCTAAGGCTGGGCTCTAGCAGCTGTGCAGAAGTCCTGAGCCAGAGCTGCTGGAGGTGGTGGCCACTCTTAACATCCCCTAACAGAAATGTGCAGTAGGAGAACAAAGCGTTGGAGAGAGGATGGATGGTTATTTTGTAGTTCCACCAGTGGCTCATAACTCTTTTGTCTTGGTGGCTTAAGCCACAACAAAAATTTTCTGGCATAAACCAATAGGTTCATCATGTGGAAGCAGCTAGGGCTGTTAATGAGAAATATTTCTTCTCATTGTTGATGTTAAGGAGCAGCAAGAATAAGGCTGCTCCAGGAAGAGGAGCCAGGAGCTGAGGGTAGCCACAGTGCAGGCTAGAAAGCACCCCTACAGCTAGGGCACAGGCCCACAGAACGTAAACCAGGCAAGCAGAACCAGGCAGTGAGAGCAACAGCTCCCATCCAAAGCCAATACAGGAAATCCAAACATCAGTTCAACAGGGCTGGGCCCAGGCCCACCTACAACACAGCTTAGGGGAGTACAGGATGCCACAGCCTGAGCTGAAATAAGATCTGTAGGCCCACGGACAGAGGGTGGGTAGGGGTCCCTGGTGAGGGTGCTTAGGGCCATTAAGGCCCAGTACTGCCCTCAGGGCTCTGACAACTGCATTCACAGATGACGGCAGGTTCAAACATGAATAAGTATTGTTATCCCTTTGATCAGCATGTATGGGTCAACTGGATAGCAAGGCTGAGCTGTATCCTTGTGCTGCATTTAGGTGGGAAGGGTAAGGAAGCACTGGGGCTGGAAGCGATTTCACCTCTGTCAGTCTGTCTAGCTTCCCCCTCTCCAAAATATGAAATTGACATCTTGCTGCACACGCCTGACCTGTACCAGCATTACTACCACTTCTATTTATTTTTTTATTTCAAAAAGCAACATGTTATTGCAATTATAACTTCTGATCTCTTTTTAAAAATAGCAATCATAGAGCCTGCATAGCTGAGAGGCCATTATTACTAGCTCTTATGCTATACCAGAAAAAGCTATTTCCATCAGGTTATACAGAATGCATTTTTCTAAGGAGAAAATCCAAAGATTTTAAAGCCTACTTTCATAGTGCATACTCTGTATCACACTCAGTTTTTCCCCTCTCCTCAGGAGAAAACCCAGGAATATTTACCACAAGCCTCTTACCATCAAACTGCTGTAACCTGGTGTACACCTATTTTCGTCTTGCACAGATTTTTTGGGTAACTGCAGTTGCCCATGAAAACTACTTCCAGAATTTGGAAGATGTTTTCTGGTTAGTGTAATAGAAACACTAATAGAAACACTAAACCACTAACCTTAACCTCAATGATCCTTGAAAACAAAACAAAAAAAAAACCACCAAACTCAACACTTCTGACCCCAACAAGAGTTACCATCTAGCAGAAACTCCCAGTCCCATTTGGCAGCAAAGACTCACTCACCATTTCTAAAACAAGAAGTTTCACAAGATATTGAAAACCCTGTGGAACACCAGAGGCTATACAGAACACGGCCAGATAACAAATACAATCACACATGGAATAAGGAAGAAAAGACCTCAGAAGATAACCAGGAAATAGAAGCAGGTGCAGTACTGTCGTGCTCTCGGCTGCTTGGCATCAGAGCCTAGATGCAATCTCACCACATCTGACAGCACAACAGCACAGGTTGTACAATGCTTTCCACCTGCAAAGGGGAAAAAGTGTGATCCACAGATAACTACAGGTACCAATCTGTCAACCCTGCAGAGGGCTCTCTTGCTCCGTGAAGGTAAGCCAGCTTGCTCAGAGATCCCTCACCTTGGAGCTGCAGTGTCAAATACTGAATACACCCAGCAGCAGCTCCAGAGCTCAATTCTACCTTTACGCTTGTCAATGAGAAAAAAAAAAATTATGTTGCCTTCCCCACAGCTCAAAGCATCCCAAAAGCACATACAAATTTCAGTTTTGCTCCCTGTAATGCTCAGATATGCCACCTCCCCACCGTTGTGTCTTTCATAGTATGTAACTCTTCATGAAAAGAAGCCTTCTGGATGAGGAGGTATTTTGAATAATTTCATAAATATGGAAATAATGTCCATCTGATGGCTGCATCTAACAGTATATCACATGAGAGTACTCCAACGACTCATGAAAGTTTTCAGACTTCATGGAAAAGGCCTCAGGTTGGAAAATAACCCTGACTCCAGAACATTCAGGCAAGTGCCGGAATAAAATATTGAAGCGAAACATCCTCATGCAGCAAGATGAAGTGGACAATTCTTTTACTTGCAATATCTGTAAAGAGAAAAAACACAGCAGTTTAAAGCAGGAAAAATACTTTAAAATTACATCTTCTATAGAATGCTGACGTGCGGAAAACAGACTCCACAATCTGAGAGATTGTAAAGTAGGTATATTTATTCGGCGCCGGGCACACAGGGGATCGCTCCTCCTATTGTGTGCACCGTTACGAGGATCGCCATCTTAGTCTTATAGAGCAAGTAGTTACATATTCATGATATTTCGCAATACGCCTATACATATGCATTACCTATCCCCGCTTCGTATTTAAATTAGCATTTCCATAATCTCCTCCCAGCTGAGTCTGCGCAGTGCCTTCTGGTGGTGGTCGTTGGGGTCTTTGGGGATGAAGTCAAGCTCCTCTTCCTCGTGTCCGCTGGTTGACCTCCTCTCTTGCGCTTGCTCAGCTGTCCTCTGACCGTTATCTAGACCACAAGCCTGGCCCTAACCGGTTTCTGGCTAACAGCTCATAGGATTTAGTACCTTATCTTTGCTGACTGTCCCCCTCTTGGTAAATTATTGGGGAAGCTGTTTCTCTTCGGAGAAGGCCAGAACACCTTATCTTATCTCTACTGACGTGCGGAAACAGCCCCCACTACTATTCTACTCTGTTCACTTACTATTCCTATTAACCCTTTGTGTTTCTATGCAGGACCCTGCATCAATGCCACGAGAAGAACACAATGCTTCAACCACTTCTTACGGAAGGATGCCTAGACATATCATCCCGTAATATTGAAGTCCTAGAGTGTCTATGAAGCATTACTAAAGAGTCTATGAAAAGGAAATATGTAATACATAGGCTTGTAATGCTATACCAATTATTTAAATCTTCCTTGGGAAATTTTTGGCATCTGCACTAAACCAAAACACACAGATGTTCTCAGGAAAAGCATAGAGTTATCAAAACAGGACATAATAACCCACATAGGCTTCTGCTAGAAAGAACATACTATTTCAATGGTTACAAACACTAGCTGCATAAAAAGGCATTTTGGTACTAGAACTAATTTGGTGCTGAAAGCATCTGAGAAAAAAACTCAAAAGATGTCAGTAAATCCCAGTTTCTCTGCTAGAAACTAGGTCTTCGTTTTAAGACCTTCAAAAAAATAATGCCTCTAAATAAAAATAAAAAATAATTTCAAAACAAAGACAACAAGAAGACACCCAGTCAGTCTGAGTATTCAACTTGATACTTACAAAAGGGCCTGGCCTTAATTTTTTTAATTTTTTTTTTCCTTCCCCAAATGCCTAAGGCCCGAAGCTTAATGCCTAAATAGAAATATCAGAAGTCCTCAAGTATCATAAAAATAGTCAAGTTTCAAACAGACAAAACAGAAGATAGGCTCTTCTGCTGAGACTACAAGTACGGCAAACATCCCTCCTTAACTGGAGTTGGCAAGCACAGCTGTTGAACTTACTGCACAATGCTTTTGTGGGATTGACCTGCTGTCCAGCAAGCAGCTGCTGTAGCTTCTTGATGTCTATGCATGCCTCAGTCATGCTTTCCAGATCTCTGCCTTGAGAAGAATTTTCACATCCATCCCCTGATGCTAAAAGCATAAGAACACAACACTTTGTGAAAACATCAGGAGGAGATTCAATGCCTGTAGGGACACACCTGAAAATCACTGAACAGCTGGTACTCAAATGGGTTGTTTTTCAGAAGCAGCAGTGAAAGGAAGAGAAAGCCCAGTTTTCCTACAAAGTTGCCAAGGATATTGGAAGAGATTTCCCCCACAAACATGAAACAGCCATTGGCCACTTATCTTTTTAAGGTTTCCTTTTAAGACTTCAAAGTATTTGATGCTATGTTGTAAGGACTAACAAAAAATAAGTACTGTTATCAGCATCACCCTGAAGTAATTATATCAGACAGACACAAGAGGCAACAAACAGGGAAACTTACCCCAAGGAGGATATCCCAAGTCTTTAAAATGTGTTGTTACAGATACTAAGTCAGTTTCTATTTTCAAGTTCATTTCTCCACTCAAGTTCGCTTCAATCACCTGCAATAGAACCAATCTCAATTTTAGGCAAGCCACTTCCGCACTGCAGAATTACAGGAGGATGAAGTGCAGCTTTGTTCAAATACAAGCTTCCAGAAGCACTTCAGGGCCTTCATAGTTCAACATTGTTTGAACATTCGAATGTTCAGCTACAAAATGCATTTCTCATCATTCCTGTGTGAATTATCCTAGACCAACGTCCCTGAAATTATGAAAAGAATTGAAATTCTAATTGAATTACAAATTGAGTTGCTCTCCAGTAGTTCTATAAGTACTGGCTTTCGGAAATTCATGTGCTGAGGAAAAGGATTTGGAAATAAGAGACTGAAGCTGGAGAGATGCAAGGTTTCCTGCATTTCCATCCAGCTTTTCAACAAACAGAAAGGCACCTACGCAGTCCATATGACACACACTTTCCAAGACTTAAAAACAGCCAGTACCTGCACCAGAGCAGTAACTCCAAGCAGGACTTTGAACTTCTAGAAATCTTGAAAAAGTGCTGAAAGCTTTCAAACTCCATCCTGACAAAGTGTCCAACCAGAAGGAGGCCACATATGATCTTACACAAATCCCAGATTAGAGGATTCCTAAATCACATCTAAGCACTTCATTTCTGTGATTAGAAGATTCTCAATAATTTTAAAATAGGCTCATGTCACAACCAGAATCTTCTATAGAATGGGAGACACCCACAGATGAATGCTCCCAAACAATGGCCAAGGACTATTTGAAAGAGCCTCTAAACCCTTTTTGCAGCACTGATCTTGACCAGTTTTACTAACAGGATGCACCTAGCACAAACATCCAGGAGCTATAAGTAGGATATCCTTTAAATCCCACCTCAAGTTTATCTAAAGTTCATTCACACAGACACTTAACACAAGACTTGTTTAATAGGCATTTCTTTAATGAAATCACCTGGAAATTCTCCAGCAACTTCCTGAAGGACTGTAACTTCTTACCACCTTGCAAGACTAGCTTGTAGCAACACAATGCCATGGTCTTTCAAGAATTCAGTACACGGAGTACCACTTTCTGGGAAGCCCAGGACAAGCTCTCCAGTATAAATCCTAAAATAAATCCCATAATTCTCTTCAGCCCTTACACAGTCTTCAAGTACCTTTAGTTCAACGTCTGACCCATCCCAAAATAAGATATAACACAGGGCACCAGTTTGGGCAACAGGGAAACATGCTATGTCCAAGACAAAATAAGGTCTGTAGGACACACACCTGAAGTGCCTTAACTTACAATGGAATTGCTGAGATTCTTCATTCTCTCCACAACACTCTTCATTGTTTTCAGCGCTGGTAGATAAATACTGACCTAGAAAGACAGAAGAACTGCATTCACAGAAATATTAAATGTGTCACATCCCAGTCACACATGAATTTCTCCCTTCAACTCTATCTTATTTTGAACTCAGTTATCTATTGAGTGCAGAGAGCACAATATTTAATTGAAATCAGCAAATGACTTAAGAACATTATACCAACAGGCCATCGCTCTAGCAATTGCTTCATACTGTCCTAAGTCTGTGTTCAAAATAGAGACAGGTTTTTGCAGATCAGATTCTCACATGCACCCACATCCATGTTACTGAGCAGTTAATAGTTACTCTAGCCAAAAAGGAAAGAACATGACTCCCATGGTACTGTAATCATTTCCGGAATTGCATCAGTATAGATCTGAAATAACAGAACAAAATACATCAAGTTTCTACTGAGTCATGTGTCTTCAGAATTTAAATTCTCTTAGCTGTAGAAGTAACAGACATCCATACCCTCAAACAGAAGCACATTTGCACAAAGACCTTTCCTTGCAACTCTGATGAAAGTCAAAATGGATACAGAGAGGATATATAAAAAACAGGAGGAAACACAATATCTATCTAGCTTTGCCAGGTAGGCCATGAATTTCAGAAAGAACAGATTATTTGGGCCACTTGGTACCTTAACAGCTGAAACAGTTTAAACCTGTGTGGTTTGGAGGTGCTCCTGCCTAAAGCCATGCAAGTCCTTGGCTCCTCCCTTCCTCCACCCTGAATATCACAGAAACAACTGGTAACCACCTGCTCTGTTTTTACAGGTTCTGGGCTCTCTTGTCAAGATGGAAGCCATGTCCCAACCCTCTCCAAACCTCTAGAGTCCAGCCTTCCCTTTCACTTCACCTCCTCTTGAAAACCCAATGGTAGTATACTCCACAGCAATAGCATTCCACTTGCAACTCCCCTTTCCATAGGGAATATAAAAACAAAGGCTTACATCAAAGTCTGGCACACTGGGCTCTCTGAAGTCATTCCATAATCTTCTGGGAATAACCCCCACAGGAATGTCATGTGTCACAATCCTACTGCTGCTTGATAAGGATGGCTTGAGGGAAATAGAAGATGCTCTTGCAGTTATAAACAGGACTTGAATTCTGAACTCAAATTTTTCCAACCATTACACTCTGGGTAATATGAAAACTGAGTGCCCCAGATACTCAGTTCCAGTTTTCCATAGGTTCCTATTGGTTCACTGTTAAGCGGACTTCCCTTCTGAATAAAGAAGAGGTTGGGAAGTATCAGTCATTACTATCTTCAGCTATCCTTAGAGCTGAAGAGGCGAATCAGTGAAGAAGCATTAACAGCAAAAAAATTCAGAAGACAGCAGTCTGAAATGAATAGCAGGACAATCAAAAGCAAAACACAGAGCCAAACTGAAAGCTCCTTCACCTAATGGCTTCAATAAGAAGGCAATAATCCACAGAAGAATCAGAGAATGACAGAAAGGAGAAAAGCAGACATTAGAAAAAGGTGTTTCAGTCACACAGTTTTCATTATTACTCCTCCACCTCTTCCTTGCCTTTTGGAAATCACAAAACTGGTTCTGCGTGCTACCAACCACAATGGCAGGAAAAGCTAGTGAAATGGAAAATGGCATGATTTTTCTTTACTTAGTTTTCTATAATTACACCAAAGACTACCAAAGCTTCTATTTGATCTTAGGAAAAGTATTTAATTTTTAAGACCTTTTTCTTAATAATGAAGATAAAAGCATGGTTGAACTTACTAGCTCCACAGCAACTCTGAGACAGGGACAGTGCTTGTTAGTCAACTTCATCTTCACTGCCTTAGCACTCTGAGCAGTTTTTAATGCTCTAGACAGGTTCTCAGGCACCAACTCTAGATAGATTTCATTGCACTCTGCAGCTACTCCTTCCATCTGAAATTCATCGAAGAAATTCCCCTACAATTTTTTAAAGTTGGGAAATAAAATAAAGCAAATAAAAAAAAAAAAAAAGACAGTGGGGCAAGTTTTACCTATCAGACCTTAAGCTTAAAACTGCATGTGTACAATGGGAAGCTTTCCTCTGCCTGGCATCACCTGCAGGAATCAGGACAGGCTGCGTAAGCATGAAGGCCCATTGCTTCAGGCTAAACCAATTAATTTCAGATCCTCCCCAATCAGTCCTCAAAACAAGGGGTATGATGTGTGAGTTACTCTTTCCTGTTTCCAGTTTTGGGCCAGCCCTTGTGGCCCAGCACACACCAAAATTTTACACTGAAGTGACAACCAAGGTATAGAGGATGTCCAGCCAGAAACACCAACCCTGTGCAACTAAAAGGCAGTCAGGCAAGACAGAGTGCCTTCAGTGACCAGACAGACCTTGAGTGACCTGGTACATCTCTGGTGAAGGCTACATGTACCAGAAACACCCTGTACACCAAACCCAACTGCATGCTCTGGTTTTCAACAATGTGTGGTTATTCACAGAATGGTTTGGGTTGGAAGGGACCTTAAAGATCATCCAGTTCCACCCCCTTGCCATGGGCAAGGACACCTCCCACTAGCCCAGGTTGCCCAAAGCCTCATCCAGCCTGGCCTTGAACCCC